GTCACACAGCTCCAGAGCTCACCCTGTAGTTCACCGTGTCTCTGTGCTGGTGTCACACAGCTCCAGAGCTCTCCCTGTACTTCGCCGTGTTTCTGTGCCGGTGTCACACAGCTCCAGACCACTCTCTACTGGTATTGCACAGGTGTGCTGTGCTGGTTTTTTAACCCCTGCCTCAGCTATTTCCAGGTATTGGCTTAACTGCATCAGTAGAGCACAGCTGAGGTTTAAGCTAGTGCTTCACAGAGACCAGCTGGATCTGATGGACTTTGGGCCTCCATGACAGGGCTTGCCCAGCTGGGGACCCGGTCAATCTAGCTTAACTCTTGACTTCTCTGAAATAACGACTAATTCTTAAAAGTCTTGGACATAAATTAATTTGTGAAATTATATACTGTATTTGACTTAAACTTTAAGAGATAAGGCACGTGAAAGCAAAACCTGGAGGCCTTAGGCCAATTCCGATCTTAATTAAGGGCATCAATGCATTGAAGTAAGGGTTTGGCAGGGATGGCGACTTCCAGACATTGGGGTCACAGGCCTTGGGGCTGGGAAAGCTGGACGGCATCACTCTCTCTACTTGGCCGATTCTTCCGGTCACTCCAAGTGGTTGCTTCAGTATTGAGTCGCTGGCTTTAAAGCACTGCAGTGGGGTGGAATGGAAGAGTGTGTGTCTGTGGACAGACAGACGTTTGTGCTGGTGGCAGGGTGCAATATCTGCAAGTCATTCACACCTGCAGGGTGTACAGGGTGTACAGGGTGGCTTTCTGTGTACAGACACCGAGAGACTGAGTGTGCCAGACAGAGAAGGCGAAAAGAGACGACAGCTATACATTCCCCAAGGAGTGTGTAAAAAATTCAAACCATCCCAGACAGCTTTCTTCAGAGCAGGACACTACCTGCGTTTATTTCAAATATAAAGAATTAAAATACACTAGTGTTTCTTTTTGTGCAAAATCAGTAAGGCTTCTGACAAGGCCTCATATTGGTAAATTACACCACGCCAACCCCCCCCCCCACACACATCCCCTGCTACCTCGACAATACAGCCTGTTAAAACACAAACATTGTATATCTTTTTCTAAACTTCCATCAGAATCGTTAAGGCAGGCTGTGAGGTCAATTATCATCCATGAACTCAGTGATGATAAACAAATTCCACAAAATTAACGTAAATCACCATATTCTGAAATTCTCCCATTAATTAGGTTGCTTGCTTTTTTTTTTTAAAAAAAAAGTTTCTTTCTCCAATCAGGGAAACGCAGGCAGACAGGTGGAGCCAATCAGGAAGAGTGTCTGTCCAGACCGGGGGGGCGGGCTCATTTCATAAATGGGTGTGGCTGAAGCAGCAATTGGCCAGTCACGCTCCAAATTAGTAGCTGAAGGGCTGCATGGCACCAATGTGGCTCAGCCCCCTCCTGCTGAGAGGCAGGCTGGAGAATAAGGTGGGAGGAGCTACTTTAGCACCAGGAATTAAGGCAGGACCATCCAGTCCAAATGCTACGAAAGTTGCACTGTCCTCTATTTATAGATCCACCCCCAAGCACTTCATGAACTCAATTTTTTATTACAAAACATTAGAAAGAATAGCCCATGAGGGGCTCTCAACCCACAAAGGTCTGCTTAGGACACCCCCACAAGGAGCTATGTCATCAGCCAGCTGTGGTTAGGATTCCCCAAGCAGAGCGACACAGCTGACTGGGGGCTTTTAAAACAAGCAGGCTGTGTGGTCTGGACCCCTGTGACCTCGCGAGTCACCCGGGAGAGCTGCCCAGGCCCCCTGTCCCATGCTAACTCTGACTAGCTGCAACATGTCCTTTCTGCCGGGAGCTGAGCTCATTCGCAAGAGACCATCCCACAAGCCAACAGAGCTCTGCTGGCATCCACCTGGGCAAGCCGCAGCTCCTGTCCTTTGAATCGCACACGCCCACACCAACCCACTCTCCAGGAGACCTTGACCAAGGCACATGCCCACGAGGGCTGGGCACTAAGACCCAGCGGACGCTGTCGGGTCTGTGGGAGCTCAGCCCAGACCCCCAGCAGTCTGCTGGTCTCCCATTCCTGTTCCCTGAGTCTCTGAGGAAAATCGCTGTCAAATCCATTCTGTTAGCATTCCACAGCAGTGATTAATGACCGGCAGCGACTGTGCATAAAAAGTACCAGGAGCTGTGTGATCGTGCCAGACGCAACGTTTCGGAAGCATTTCTGGCAAAGCGCAGTGGAGGAGGACATGGCGAGGACAGGCAGGGTCTACGGCTGTAGCACCAGGGAACTTGTGTCTGAAGGACTGGTCAGCCTGGAGCTGCCCAGGGACTGGTCAGCTGGTCTGTGTGCTGGGGGGTTCACACACACCACAAACTCTCACACACTAGTATTTCTAGACTTGACTCTTTATCTTCTTATTCACTGCTACACTCAAATCAATCTCCACAGGTGGAGAAAAGAGACCCCAAATAAATATGTTCGGCACTTTTAGACTTAAAAATAAAATACTGTATTATGATTTTTCTTTTAAAAAAAAAGTCATTTATATTGTGTGGACATCCTTATGTTGTAACTATCAAAGGGGACACATTTTCTCAAACTTTGTCCCCACCTTGTTAGTAATGCGTACAGCAAAAAGTGCCACTGCACTGCAGGCTCTCGTCTCTCACTCACACCTATCCCTGTCTGGAGAGCCAGGGTCGCAGAGTGCGAACGGAGAGCCCCTTTACAGCCAGGTGCCTTTACAAAAGAAGACAGGTGGCACACAAGCCTCCACACTGCAGAAATTCACAACTCGAGACCTTGAAGCCCACCGTCTCTTCAGGTTTTTATTTATTACATAACTGAATGAAGTTTTGACTTAACTGCATCACTGCAGCCCTTTTCCCAGGTTCTAAGCTGTTGAGATTTAAAGAGGCCTATCAGCCTCCCAGGCCCCGAGCTGTGCATCCCTGTTGTACAGAGCAGTCAGTGGAGGAAAAAAATAAATCAAACATTATGACACATTTCAATAAATAATGGGCTTTGTGCGGGTTCTGTTAATGCTCCATCAAGCGGTTCTCTGTCTACAAAGCTCCTGTGCAGTTTAGGCTTGTCCAGCACAGGCACGTCCTGTGCACTCAGTCAGCGGCTCGTCCTGCCAGCCTCGCGCGCTGTTGTTACCTTCCACCTGGTTCTCTACACCGCTTTCTTCCGACGCTCTTCTCCTACGCTGTGGTGGGCCGGTCAGCCCCTCCGTGGTTCCGGCTCTGCCCGTTTCCGCGCCCTCTCCCGGACGTCAGGCCGACACGTTGACGTCTCGCAGCGCGATGGTGCTGCCGGGAGGGGCGTCGGCGGGGCGGTCGGGCGCCGGGGGGGGCGGGGCCAGCAGTGGGGGTGCGCTGCTCTGGGACAGGATCTGCTGCAGCGTGCGCCGCAGGTTGGGGTGCAGGCGGCCCTGGGTCTGGTAGAACACCTCCACCGCGAAGGACTTCATCACGCCGGAGCACAGGTCCTCGTACAGCGGCACCGTGTACATCCGAGAGGTCTGGGAGAGGGCCAGCGGGATGGAGCAGGAGACGTTTAGAGAGGGAGAGAGAAAAAGATCGGCATTGTCATTTCCTTACCCCAATAACTGTCCTCCTCCTCCCCCATCCCTCCTTTCCTTTTACCTCATTTCAATTCAAGATGCTTTACTGGCATAACCAATGAGTAAAATCAGTGTTGCCAAAGCAATACAAACACAATTAGCATTAAATTTACAGACACATCATAATATATTTACAAACATATGGAGCATTATTGGGAGACCATTGAACTGGCAGCCCAGTACGTGATCTCATGTCACAGCGTGAGGGACAGCTTTCTGTCCCCCTTCTGTCCCCACGCTCCCTCTCCAGTGTCCCACCCTCTTACTCCCCCCTGCTCACATGTGTGTGTAGAAAGCTCCGCACTTGGGACAGGTCCGGATAGAAGCCATTCCGCACCACGATCTGCAGCCAGCGGATCCGCACCTCCGCGTTCATCCCGTCCAGCAGCGCGGAGTAACAGCGGGACAGGCGGGACATCACCTCTGGGAGACGCACAGATCACTCCGTCACGGAGAGTTCGATTTCTCCCCCCCAACACGCCGCAAGGTCACCGGGGCGTCTCAGAGAAATACACTACCTTCACGGAGGCGATTTACAACGCCTGCCGCCAAGAAAAATGTAAAGAAGAAATCCTTTGTTCCCTGTGCGATGGGTATAGCACAGCTAAGGGACTGTTCCCTGTACACAGCTGTCGGGTTAGTGTGACAGGAGTCTTAATATGGGCAGGGCAAGATGTGTGTATAGGTACTGCTGCATCTCTGAGAACAACATCTGTTTTTAATATGGATTTATCTTACTTTGAGTGTTGCTTTTTGTAGTTTTCTATGGTGATACCAAAGACAAATTTCCACCCTTCTGGGCGGACAATAAAATTCGATCTTAAAGAACAGCTCCTCTGCCCGCGTCGCCTTCGCAGTGTATCTAAAGACGGACCCTGACAGGTGGGGGTCTCAGGGGAGCACGCGTGTCTTTCCTGAGCATGTGATGGAGTCGCTGCCAGAGAGCCACTCTCTTGTTCAAAACAATCAGTAATCCCCAGATGGGAGTGCGTGTGCAGTAACTAAAAAAGAGAATATTCCCTGAAGGCCGTCAGGAAGTAGAATTCACAGGTCACTAGTCTGGTGCGAAAACTGTACCCAGTTGGCTACCCCACCATTCACCCCCTGCTTGCTCACTCAATATCTGTGGAAAACACACTGAAATGTTATGGGCTATTGAGTCTGTGAACCAGCCGTAAGCCCACCTGTTCAGACAGCAGTGTGGAAGCACAGGGTCAGGAGCTAGCTAGGGCCAGGACAGAGTACGCCAGAGCAAAAAAGAACAAGAATGGTGAAAGCAGGCTGCATCCGCCTTAGTGTAATTTAGTGTACTCAATAAGGCTCTCTAGATGACCGACAAGCCAAAGCTTCGATTGCAAAGAGGTGATGGAGTCATAAGTGCTCTGTGGCCAGCAAATCAAAGGTCACAATCTGCTGTTAAGACTGTTCATAAGAGTTAGAGAGACTGCGGGGAGCAATTAAAAACATTTTTTCCCCTAGATGGTGCACCAAGTTGGAGATTTTGTTTTTTAAAAAGAACTGGCAGTGAGCATTCTTATTGTATTAAACAATGCACCCCTTTAAATCACTTCAGCACACTTATGTCTCTCACCTGCTTATCAACAGCGACACGTTATTTGGTTTCAAGTGTTTTTCATGCCAAGAGACTGGATCTCCATGTCACTGTGACTATCAGTTACTTATCGAATGCAATGGCAGCAGACTCGAGCTCTGTTAATGTTGTGCCTGTGATGCTGCAGTAGCAGCGCAGACACACACAGCCCACTGCTGCTTGCAAACTGGCAGGCTTCGGCGACAGCCGGAGACACTATTCATTTTTGACAGCAGGTTGCGGATGTACTCTTCTTGCTTTACCTGCTGCACGAGCCCCAGCTTCAACCCTTACCTATGACCCTGCCCCCCCCACTGTACGGTGCCCCCAGTTTGCCCCCCCCGCAGGTACCGTGTGGCAGGGGTGAGCGGTCCAGCAGTCGGTCCAGGAACAGCACGATTTGGAAGGTGCTCCAGGTTGAGAGGTCGAAAGTCGCAATCGTCAGGAGGTCGAGAGGGTCCACGCTCCACAGCTCACAGAGCTGCTTGACCGGACCGGTCAGGACCGACCCGGCGGACAGATCCGGCTCGGACAGGGGGGGGCCACAGCCGTTCAGCCAGCGCTCAAACTCCAGACCTGAGAGATGGGGGGGGGGAGAGAGAGGGGAAGGTGATCTTCTTTGACATCCATCACTCAGGGCACCTATTCTGGCTACTGGTGCAAGTGGGATATATTGTACAGATCGGACATGTCACAGCTTCACAATCTATTTGAGTAAGCTGTGCCAAGGGGATAAACTGGAGGACCCCTCCCGGCACAGCTTGCTCAATACCTCAATACCTGTGCAGATTCGCAACAGCTTCCTCTGTGAGACCTCGGATATATTTAAAGGGGAACTGAAGTCCCAATTTCTCAGACCGGTTATAAAAATCGCGGCGACAAAGTTAATTTGTTAACGTTATAGAAAAAAAAGATAAATTTCGTATTAAGCACAACATTTTGAACTTTTTGAAAGTACTGTAAGTTCCCATGTTGTCCAGTTCCCACGAACTGCGACATGATTAGGCCCTTCCTGCTCACTAGTCTCCATTAAGACTACTGTAATGTGATGTACGAGAGTATAAATACAGGTTGTGCAGCAGACATATGACCGCAGAAATGTTCCAGCGTGATCTGCATGCAGAGTTAACAAGTAGTATTTGTCAACAGAACTGTATCGAAATCAAAAGCAATATTTCTATCGGATTGAAAGAGATGTATTCACAAGCCCGCTTCTGTGCAATGGCTTAAGGCTGCATACATCACCGGAAGTTTTGTTACCACGTTCAGAATCGAAGAACATTGCGCTGCGCATACCTGCAAATTGTGGTTTGAAACGCACTCATCGATGTCGATTCTTTCTCACCCCGAAATATAAAAAAAGATTTGCATTTCCCCTTTACATAGGAAAACATGAACTTACCAAGTGCCTTGTGCTCTTTCAGGAGACTCCTCTTACGCTACTGAAACACACTCCCACCATTCACCCCCTCCCCGCCCTTACTCGTTCTCCTCTCCCACTTCTTTCACCCCCGCCTCTCACCCTCTCTCTGGGCCACAGAGCTCTCCTTCAGCTCCGGGAAGAATCCCAGGAAGAACTCCAGGAGGTCGTGCGCCACCACGCTGGTGAACTTGAACTTCTCGGTGTAGGCCTGGGGAGAGGAGGAGGAGGAGGAGGCTCGGTGAGGCGGACCGGAAGACCGACAGGAGCCAGAGAGAGGGGATGGGCGAGCCCAGAGAGTCAGAGCTGAACCAGGAGTCCAGCGCCCAGCTGGAGGGCGAGATGACAAACGAGTCGTAGAGCTATCTGGACCTTGAGGGCAGGTCAGATCCCACCCGAAGCCCAATCTGCCTTCGGTTGTTTTCTCCTCAATTAAGATACGACATATTAAACTGCACTACCTTCTGCTGAACTAGCCAACATTAAAAGCATCCCAAGATGACAGCTAGGCATAATTAAAGAAACTAAACCTAAAACTGAATTGCTATAACCAACCAAGCAGTCGGCCAAACTGTGGTTATTACTGCAGAGGCAATAGAAAATCTGTAATTGATTAATGGGCCTGATAGGGAAATCATTAACAAGCCTAGGAATATTTCATCAATGATGCTGAGTAATAAATGATCAAGATGCTTCAAAAAATAATTGATTAAGGAACCTCACTGTTATTGGCTTAATAAAGTTTCAGATAACAGAATAATGAATATGTGGGTTGCAGAGATCAGTGCATGTCTATCTCACCCGCAGGAAGGCATCAAAGCGCTGGGTGTCCCCACACAACTGCGACAGGTAGGAGACAAAGCAGTAGCCCTTCTCATACGTGAAGAGGTTCATCAGGCTGCTGGGATTTACACCTGGACAGGACACACACAGAGTCAGGCACAGCCGGACAGCACACGCACAGCGTCCAGGCACGGCCGGACAGCACACGCACAGCGTCCAGGCACGGCCGGACAG